GTCGCTTTTCTCCGATTCATGTCGCCGATCTTTATCATCACGCTCCGCCTTCTTCCTTGAGTCCCCGACCTTTACACCTCTTTTCTCTTCGCCCCTTTGTTGTTTGTCTTTGTTCCTTTCTCTACCCTTGTCTTTCTCCTGCCTCGCCTTGTGCAATCACCCACCCTCCATTTCCATGCGGCCTTGTTGTTCCATTTCTTGCTGTTTATTCTTTGCCTGATCCAATTTTACTCGAAATTTCTGCTTTTCCTTCTGCTTTTTGTCGTCCGTCTCCTCTGCATCGTCTTTTAAACCGCTGTCCACATTAGCACTTTTAAGGACAAACGGAAAATCGGCCAGGTTGTGGTTATCAGCCTTACACACTGTACACTTAGCCGGTTCCTCGCAGTTTTCCGTGTGGTGACCAAGACGTTCACAATTGAAACAACGAACGTACGAACAGTCCTTCACGAGGTGGTCTTCAGAACCGCAATTATGACACGTTTTAGGTTGGCTTGGATACCACACACAAATGAATTCACCGGCCAGGTTGATGGTCGAAGCAATATGCCGGGAGAAACTCCTCCGAGCAGTACGCACACCATTATCAATAAACTGTGCTATTTTATCCCTTCGAAAGCTGCAAACACGACCATAATGATTTAAACGGCCAATTAAGACCGTGTATGGCAGCTCAGCTGCCACTTCATACAGCTTAACAAGAACTAGGCAGTTTTCACAGTCGCCCAGGAAAATGGTTGAACCACCAATCTCAACACGGGCGACCTCCAACGCTACTTCTTTCGCTAGCTGGGAGTCAAACGTTACAATCCAGGTTTTATTCGAAGCTTTCCTCTGGATGGTAGTGATTTCATTGATATCAATGCCAGCAGCGTCAAATGCCTCGAGGATAGTTTGACTAGTAACCATCGTATCAACCGCAAAATAAACCGAGCGATCTTTAACGAGCCTAGACTTATCTCTACCACTCTGGAACACCACACATTTGAATCGCAAACCATTACTAACCAAATTCCTAAGTACATCGAACTGGAACCTCAGGTGTGATCTCCGCCCACAATTCACTCAAACAGGATCAACCAGTTTCGCATCCGGGACATCCCCACTCTCTGCGGTGCTAGTAAATTGACTAATCGAAACACTTTCTTCACTCATTCTCAACTTAAAAGGATTGCTAAAGGAAGCAAAAATATCGGAAGCCCTCTGAGACCTCTCCGAGTGGCCTACAGTTCATTTAAAGTGAGTTTAATGAGAAAGGAGGAGAGCTCATTTGAAAAGTGAACTTGCTTGCCCCGGGGTAAGCCGTGGCGAAGCAGAATGAGGGGATTAGTTAGTAAGATAGGAGTGGTATATAATTTGTTAATTAGCATCGACACCCAGTTCCACGGAGGGGACACTAGGTGGCACACGCAGAAAGCGTGGGAAATGGTTTCTTTTTCGCCACATCCCACACACCGATCACTCACA